TTAAAATACGACCAATCACAAGGATGTGGTGATGGACAGGAAGGTAGTTCTATGAAGAAGGAGTCCAGGAGTGTCATGAATGAGACTTGGGTTTAAGGGTCTTGGAGGAAGCTTTAGCTTGAGAAAAGTGTCCTCTAGGAAGCTGCATTTATTTACCCTTCTTTTTCTCCTTTTCAGAAACACAGCTATCCCCAGAAATCAAAGTCTGTCAGCAACGACCTGAACCATATCTATGCCAACGTTTCTGTGAATCTCACCGAAACTGTCAAGCAAATAACATATGCTGTTCTACCTACTGTGGGAATGTTTGCATGAACATCCTGTGAGTGGGAGAGTGGGCGGGAAGATGCGCATACTGCTTACCAACTCCTCTATCCAAGACTGTGCCCACGCCCGAAGCACAAGGACCTCAAGTCACCAGCACAAGAATGTCAATAGGAATACCACCTTCCCCACTGTCTGAACTCCTTGTCCCTGTCAAATAAACCAGAACAAATGCCCAGGGATCTTGCCTCTTTTACTGCCACTACGGGGGATCATTAAGAGCCCACTGCAGCCCCCACAAATGCCCTTCTCTTCTTGTGTCCTGGTCTTCAGTTTCTCTCTCTGGTTATGCTTCTCTACCCATGCATCCCTGCCAGCCCTCAGGAGGCTCAGCCACTTGCTGCTATGGTCACTGAACCAGTACCCCCGGGGTAGAAACTGCTCATGTGCATCATCTACCAATACTAAGGAGAATATTTCTCACCCTGGAGTCAGAAGGACCCATTAAGCATGAGGTGGGTGGCGGTTAGAACCTGGGGGAGGGGGGGGTAAAAGAGTGGGAGGCCCCCAAGAACTGCTTTGCTCTCCTTAGCCTTGGTGCACTGCCACCCCATGATCCCTAATCTCTCTGTAAGGTTCAGATTACTATCTACTTATCATGAGGATAATGAGTCCCAAGAAGTCCAGCAAGCCCAAGGCCACAAGAGAGTGAGAGGATATGATGCGGCTGGAAGAGGGTGTTTCCTCTAGGCTCCTTTTTGCTCACTTCTCTCCATCACCTGAGACCAGAGGCATCCTAGTGAGAGTGAGTGCCTACACCAACCCCAAAGCTCCTCCTATCCAGCACCCACCAACATGGCTAATCCTCTGATGGGACCCAATTTGGGTCTCAGGACTTGACACTCCAGCACCTTCCATTAACTGAATAGTCCCTATCTTTCCCAAGCCCTCTTCCTTAGAGGCCGGCTTCTGGCAGTACAGTCATTTTCACAATATTGATTCTATCCATCCATGAGCATGGGATATGTTTCCATTTGTTTGTGTCATCTATTATTTCTTTTAGCAGTGTTTTGTAGTTTTCCTTGTAGAGGTCTTTCACCTCCTTGATTAAGTATATTCCTAAGATTTTTTTTTGTTTTTTGGGTTTGTTTGTTTTTGCAGCTATTGTAAAAGGGGTTGAGTCCTTGATTTGATTCTCCTCTTGGTCACTGTTGGTGTATAGAAGAGCTACTGATTTGTGTACATTAATCTTGTATCTGGAAACTTTGCTGAATTCTTTTTTTTTTTTTTTTTTTTTTTGAGACAGAGTCTTGCTCTGTCGCCAAGCGCCAGGCTGGAGTGCAGTAATACAACCTTGGCTCACTGCAATCTCTGCCTCCTGGGTTCAAGCAATTCTCCTGCCTCGGCCTCCCGAGTAGCTGGGACTACAGGTGCATGCCACCACGCCCAGCTAATTTTTGTATTTTTTAGTAGAGACGGGGTTTCACCATGTTGGCCAGGATGGTCTCGATCTCTTGACCTCGTGATCCACCCACCTCGGCCTCCCAAAGTGCTGGGATTACAGGCGTGAGCCACCGCGCCTGGCCTGTTCATATTTTCTTATTCTTTTTTCTTTATCTTTGTTGGATTGGATTAATTAGACCTTGTCTTCAAGCTCTGAATTTCTTCTACTTATTCAGTTCTATTGCTGAGACTTTCCAGAGCATTTTGCATTTCTATAAGTGTGTTCAGTGTTTTCTAAAATTTTTATTGTTTTTTCTTTATGCTATCTATCTCCTTGAATATTTCTCCTTTCACTTCTTGTATATATATTTTTTTATTTCCTTGCATTGGGTTTTGCCATTTTCTGGTGCCTTCCTGATTAGCTTGATAACTAACCTGAATTCTTTTTCAGGTAAATCAGGGATTTCTTGGTTTGGATCCATTGCTGGTGAGCTAGTATAATTTATTGGGGGAGGGGTGGTGTTAAAGAGCCTCGTTTTGTCGTATTACCAGAGTTGGGTTTCTGCTTTCTCCTAATTTGGGTAGGCTCTAGGAGAAGGAAGGTCTAGGGCTGAAGGCTGTTGTTCAGATTCTTTTATCCCACCAGGTGTTCCCTTGATGTAGTACTCTCCCCCTTTTCTTATGAATGTGGATTCCTGAGAGCTGAGCTATAGTGATTTTTATCTCTCTTCTGGGAAAAGCCACCCAGCAAGTCTACCAGGCTCTGGGCTGGTGCTGGGAGTTGCCTCCACAGAGTCCTGTGATGTGAACCATCTATTGGTCTCTTACTGTGGATACCAGCACCTGTTCCAGTGGAGGTGGCAGGGGGGTAAAATGGACTCTGTGAGGGTTCTTAGTTTTTTTTTTTTTTTTTTTTGCTGGTTGGTCTCCTGCCAGGAGGTGGTGTTTTGCAGAGAGCATCAGCTGGGATAGTATGGAGATGAACCAGTAGTTAGCTTAAAGTGAGTTAAGCTATATTATTGGAAATAATATCAAAGTTACAAGGGTAAGAATAGTACAAAGATGATCTGCATACCATTTACCCAGATTCTCATATTTGCTCGCTCTATCTCTCTCTCTCATGTTTTTTGAACAATTCAAGAGTAAATTTTATTTATCATGGCCCTCATTTTTAAATACTTCCATGAGTACTTCTTAACAACCTGAGCATTGTCTTACAGGATCATACTACGGTTATCAACTTTGTTAAATTTAACCTTGATAAAACATATTTTTATCTATTCTACCATGAGTATTAAATTTTATTAGTTCACCCAATAATGTCCTTCGTCTTTTATAAAATTCAAATTTTGGAAGAATACAGCCAGCATTTTCTTCGAACTGAATAGTCCTCATTTGGAGTTTAACTGAGATTTCCTTAGGATTAGATATAAGTTATGTATTCTCAGCGGGAATAGCATGTAGGTGATACTGTGTCCTCAGGATATCACATGTGGAGACACACAATGTCCATCCATGTTATCTCTGCCTCAGTTTCTCCATTTGAACAACATAAACAAAAATTTATTCCATAGACGGATAGTGTTGGCAGGATATGGGGGCATGATTTGGACAGGGAACCCATCCAAGCAAGACAAAGATGAAAGCTTTTACAGGTTCACACTTCCAGCCCCAGGACCCTGACCCCCACCTACCTTTGAAGATGTCGGAGTTGGAGGTGCTGATACCTATTTGGCTGGTGGCTCTTCCTCTTTGCCTCTAGGAACGTGGAGCCCCCACACAATGGGCATGTGGTGAGCAGAACAAACCAATTATACCGATCTTAGTCATGCTTCTGGTTGTCGCAGATCTGTATGTTCTGTCCCAAACCATATGCTGGGAATATACTGAACATTGTCCCTGAATTCCTAAGTACTTTCTTCTTTTTGCTGCAGGCAATATAGATAGAGACAGAACACCATGGACCTGCAGAAGCCTCTCCTCCCCTAACACACACAGAAGTCCGGGTGATTGTGGAGTGGATGGTCTCTTGGAGACCATCCCCTTACAGCCCACCTACCTCTGGTGATTTCTGTAATAGCGGTTGGTCATGATCTCTTTTCTATGATGCCCTTGTCCAAGAGAAGCTTTTAGCAGAGGTAAAGACGAGCCTGAAAAAACCCCAGAGCTCAGTGATGCCTCTGAGTTGGATCACAGCCTCTGGTCTGATGGGAAAATTTTCTTCACTGATGTCTCTTTCATTGAATGGCCCAGCAAGAAGCACTAGACTGGAGCATAACACTGCACACCTGCCTCTGGGCATGGCCTGTCCACTTGAAACCTCTTCACATTTGACACATATGTGACCGAACCCAAGATCATTTCAGAGGAGTCACGATTGCATAGAGTAAGAAAGAGTCTCTACCGCAGTGATTAATTTCCACCAACTCACAGTAGGATGACAGACAAGACCCACAGCCACTCTGTGCCCATTACTCCTTAGCAACACAGCATGGACAACATGTTTCCCACCCCTTGGACTTCCTCTTGATCAAAAGAAAAGAGAATGAGCCCCTAAGGAAGAGGGCTTGGGAAAGATAGGGACTATTCAGTTAATGGAAGGTGCTGGAGTGTCAGATCCTGAGACCCAAATTGGGTCCCCTCAAAGAGTAGCCATGTTGGTGGGTGCTGGATAGGAGGAGCTTTGGGGTTGGTGTAGGCACTCACCGACTCACTTGGATGCCTCTGGTCTCAGGTAATGGAGAGAAGTGAGCAAAAAGGCAGCCTAGAGGAAACACCCTCTTCCAGCCGCATCATATCCTCTCACTCTCTTGTGCCTTAAGCATGTCATCGGCCTTCCTGGGACTCATTATCCTCATTGTCAAGAGACAGTAATCTGAACCTCAGAGAGAGATTGGGGAACATGAAGTGGGGGTACCCCAAGGCTAAGGAGAGCAAAGCAGTGCTTTGGGGTCTCCCACTCTTTACCTTGGGTTCTAACCACCACCCACCTCACGCTTAATGGGTCCTTCTGACTCCCGGGTGAAAAATATTCTCCTTAGCGTAGGGAGATGCTGCACATGAGAATTTTCTCCCCCGGGGTACTGGTTCAATGAGCAAAACAGCCAGGGGCTGAGCCTCCTGGAGGGCTGGCAGGGATTCATGGGCCACAGAGGGAGAGAGAGGGTAGAGAAGCATAACCAGGGAGAGAAATCGAAGACCAAGACCCAAGAAGAAAGGGGCATCTTTGGGGGTTACAGTGGGCTCTCAATAATCACCTGTAGTGGCAGCAAAAGAGGCAGGATCCCTGGGTATTTGTTCTGGTTTATTTGACTGGGACAAGGAGTTCAGGCAGGAGGGAGGGCGACATTCATGTTGATGTTCTTGTGCTGGAGATTTGAGGTCCTTGTGCTTTGGATGTGGGCACAGTCTCGGATGGAAGGGTGCAGGGAGCAGGAAGCATATCCCAGCCCACTCTCCTACTCACAGGATGCTCATGCAAACGTTCCCACAGAAGGCTGAACAGCATATGTTACTTGCTTCACACTTTTGGAAATATGAACAGTGGTGGATACATAGATCTATGCTGGGTTGCTTCTTACAGATCTTGATTCCTGAAATGATGCAGGAGCAGTCAATGAAACCACGCACCTACAGAACACCCTTCTCAAGCTTGACGCTCCTCCAAGGCAGAACCAAGCCTCCCACCCCTCCCCCACCATGACTCTCCTGCACTTTTCAGGGAACTTCCTTCTAGCCCATCCTAGTGATTGGTAGTATCTTTATTTTTTTATTGTTTTATTGTCTTTTTTTTTTTCAGACGGAATCTCTTTCTGTCATCCGGGCTGGAGTGCAGTGGTATGATTTCGGCTCACTGTAACCTCGGCTCACTGCAACCTCCACCTCCCAGATTCAAGCGATTCTCCTGCCTCAGCCTCCCAAATAGCTGGGATTACAGCCACTTACCACCACACCAGGCTAATTTTTGTATTTTTTTTAGTAGAGACAGGTTTCACCATGTTGTTCAGGCTGGTTTCAAACTCCTGACCTTGTAATCTGCCCACCTAGGCCTTCCAAAGTGCTGGAATTACAGGCATGAACCAGTGCACCTGGCGGTAATTGGTAGTATCTTAAATCCTGTCTCCCCGCCCTGCCACCTCACCCCAGTAGACCTCAATACCTGGGCTTCCTGGACCCTCTTCATACACATGCATTCAGAACTCTGTCTCCCTATTAATCATTGCCTTGGTGAAGTCACCCCTACAGAATCTACAGTCTGACCCTGAGAGCTCAAAGAAGCCTGAGACATTTCCAAATCCTCCCTATTCTCCAGAATTTGCAGAGTCCAGAAAAGAAGATGAGCTTGCCTCTCATCCCTCTCTCTCCTCTTCTCACTGTCACTGTCCCTAATACCCCTTCCCACCACCCCCTGGCCCCTTTGATGATAACCTTAACTTTGTTCTGTATACTCCAACTTTTCATTGCTGTATGTCCTTTTTACCCTACACTTACACCCATTTCTACACCTACACCTAGCCTCATAACCACTTTTAGATGTTTACTCCTCACAAATGTGCATAAATCAAAGAATAATTGTCCTGCTTTCCCACTGGATTCTCAGCCCTGACTCACCTTTCACTATGGGATCTACCATTTGTCTCTAAGTATTAGGAATGAACAAAAGATGTAGGTTCCCCCTTCATTCCCATTACTATTCCCAGGACCAGCTAAGGGGCTGGAGGGCCATGGTTTGGGAGAGCCCAGAGTCTGCACAGCATTGTGGTCAGAACTAGATATACAGAAATGTTCCAACTCCTAGGTCCTACTCAGACAGGACACAGCTCCGCCGTTCCCCCTACCCAACTGCCCCTCACCCATCCAGCAGCCCATCACCTACTCTGGATCCTCTTCTTGTCACGGTATCCTCCCTGGGCCTGCAGCAGCAACACGCAAAGAACCAGGACTGGCAGCAGTGTCTGGAATGGCATGACTCTGACCAGAGTGTGAGCCCTAAGTCTGGCCAGACGGTCACACACTTCCCTGGAGAGTTGCCTGTGGAGAGGGAAGGAAAGAAGGAATGATCTTCAGCTCCTCGCTGTCTCCACTAGCCAAGTCAGGACACAGCAAGAGTCCTTGCTTCCTGCCTTGGCCTTCTCCTGGCTCTGTTCTTCTACCTACAGGATAGGGCAGGCGTCCCCCAACTACGGCCCCGCGGGCCGCATGCAGCCCCCTGAGGCCATTTATCCGGCCCCCCGCCGCACTTCAGGAAGGGGCACCTCTTTCATTGGTGGTCAGTGAGAGGAGCACAGTATGTGGTGGCCCTCCAACGGTCTGAGGGACAGTGAACTGGCCCCCTGTGTAAAAAGTTTGGGGACGCCTGGGATAGGGCTTCTGCAGGAATGACGCCTCCTCCTCCCACATAACCAGTCGTGTGTTCTTGCTAACAGAGGTTTCCTTTTCTGTTAAAAGGAAAACCTTTAACAGAATAAATGAATATATCTGCTTTCTAAGTACAAAATTCTTTACAGGAAAAAAGAAAAGAAAAAATATAATTTTTAAAAAGGTGCTTAGAATTAACCCACATTTTATTGCATTATCTTTTAGTTCCCCTGTATATTTAATGTAAATAATCTTTTATTTTCTCATTTTTGAATCCCTATCTTTTGTTACCTGCCTTCTGCCACCTTTACTTAGTCATGCAAATATTTACAATGTCATTATTTCTCAAAAAGAAATGACATGATTTTTCTTCTTTTTTTCTTTTTTAGTGAGGGTAGCTACAGGAAGCCACTCCAATTTCCATAGTTGTGAAGCCAGACATTATAACATGAGCCCTTTTAAGAAGTGGCTATTTGCACGTAATAGATGTGTTCATTATAAATTCTTCCTTTTTTTCTTTTTAAGACAGAGTATCACTCTGTCACCCAGGCTGGAGTGCAGTGGCGCGATCTTGGCTCACTGCAACCTCCACCTCCTGGGTTTAAGCAATTCGTGCCTCAGCCTCCTGAGTAGCTGGGATTACAGGCATGTGCCATCACACTCAGATGATTTTTTGTATTTTTAGTAGAGATGGGGTTCTGCCTCGTTGGCCAGGCTGGTCTCAAACTCCTGACCTCAAGTGATCCACCCCTCTCAGCGTCCCAAAGTGCTGGGATTACAGGTGTGAGCCACCACACTCGGCCTAATTATAAATTATTTTTATCAATTCATTACACAAAACTCTATATGACGGAGCTATATTTTTGATATTATTTTAAATTCCAGGGGAAATGTGCAGGATGTGCAGGTTTGTTTTATAGGTAAACATGTGCCATGATGGTTTGCTGCACCTATCAACCCATCACCTAGGTATCAAGCCCAGCATGCATTAGCTACTTTTCCTGATGCTCTCCCTCCCCAGACAAGCCCCAGGGTTTGTTGTTTCCCTCCCTGTGTCCATGTTCGGCTCCCACTTATAAATGAGAACATGGGGTGTTTGGTTTTCTGTTCCTGTTTTAGTTTGCCAAGGATAATAGCTTCCAGCTCCATCCAGGTCCCTGCGAAGAACATGGTCTTATTCCTTTTATGGCCGCATAGTACTCCATGGTGTATACGTGCCACATTTTCTTTATCCAGTCTATCATTGATGGGCATTTGGGTTGATTTCATGTCTTTGCTATTGTAAATAGTGCTGCAATGAACATGTGTGTGCATGCGTCTTTATAATAAAGGAATTAATTGAAAAGTTATAATAGCATTCACAATTTCCTTTTAAAACTTCACAGTGATTCACACCTGTAATCCCAGAACTTTGAGAGGTTGAGACGGGTGTATCTCCTGAGGTTGGGAGTTCATGACTAGCCTGGCTAACATAGTGAAACACCATCTCTACTAAAAGTACAAAAATTAGCCAGACATGGTGGTGCATGTCTACTAATCCCAGCTACTCAAGAGGCTGAGGCACGAGAATTACTTGAACCCAGGAGGAGGAGGCTGCAGTGAGCTGACGTTGCGCCACTACACTTCAGCCTGGGTGACAAAGTGAGACTCCTCAAAAAAAAAAAAAAAAAAAAGAGCCGGGCGCGGTGGCTCAAGCCTGTAATCCCAGCACTTTGGGAGGCTGAGGCGGGTGGATCACGAGGTCGACAGATCGAGACCGTCCTGGTCAACATGGTGAAACCCCGTCTCTACTAAAAATACAAAAAATTAGCTGGGCATGGTGGCGTGTGCCTGTAATCCCAGCTACTCAGGAGGCTGAGGCAGGAGAATTGCCTGAACTCAGGAGGCGGAGGTTGCGGGTGAGCCGAGATTGAGCCATTGCACTCCAGCCTGGGTGACAAGAGCCAAACTCCGTCTCAAAAAAAAAAAAAAAAAAAAAAAATTCAAGCCTCTGTGAATAAATATAAGAAAGACATATACAATTTCCACAGGGAAAAATTATAAAAAGTGTTAAGGGACATGAATAAGACCTAGGTACAGATGAGAGAGAGAGCAAGATCAGTATCAGGGGACATGGGTGATATGAAAACACTACGTGGCCCTGGAGTGGGTGTGACTGGGAGGTGCTTGGCTTTCTGCCCTGCCTTTTTGATTGGAGTACACAGTGAAAGGCTAGGAGTCACAGCGGGCTCCACTTTGCCCTCTTTCCCTCTCTTCTCCTCACAGCAGTGCCTGGTCAAACCCAGCAATCTTTGGCCCAGAACTTACCTGTCCCACTGGCACCATGAATCCTGTGCTGCCTCTCCAGATCCTGGCGGTGTTCTGCCTAGCACTGCCGCTGGTGCCTGGGAGTCTCAAGCTGCATTTTCTGAGTAGGTGCTGGGTCTGGGCCAGGGAGGGAAGTAAAATCTGTGGACAGGAGAGGATCTGAGGGCTGATAGTCTGTCACATCTCTTGGAAAAATACTGTGTCATGTTCAAGGGCCCAAGCTTTATTGTTGGCAAGATCTAGGTTTGAATCCCTGCTCCATTGCTTACTGAGTGACCTTGGGCAAAGTATCTGGGCCTTATGTTTTTATCCTTGTAATGGATACGATTATATGGGGATAGTTGGAGGAGAACAGATAATGCATGCAGACATAGCTCACTCTTACTAGACCATGGTAAATGCTCAGTAATATTAAATGCTGTAAATGTGATCAGCCTTATCATCCAGCTTAATCTTGCTTCCCATGGCTCCTTCACAGATGCTTGGACTCCCTTGTCAAGCATTAAAACAGAGAGACAATGACGTTAGTAGAACTCAAGCTGGAATCTATATAACCTTGGCCTTTGAGGATGTTTTGGAAGTTAGGGGGAAAAAGGCTTGCATTTTATTCCACATTTTCGAACACCAGAGGTACTGCACAATTACTGGTAATTTGCATCAATGGGACAGTGTAGAGTCCATCTCAGCAGCCACCACAGCCCAGCTCAACTCAAAAGAGCTCTGGCTATAGTAATGTTGACCTCAACCAACACCAAATGGGAAAAGAACTGTTATTCCTCATACATCCACTCTTCTATGGGGAAAACATCTTCAGAATACTGGAGCTCAGAAGAGGGATATGTGTGGTAGCTCATGTGTCTGGGGAGGCGAGGTCCTGCTTTAGAAGTTTCAGAAAAGGCATGCAGGTTTGTAGGACTAAGAGGGACTAAGCAAGCTTCAAGAAAATAGGAATGCGCAGGGTAGAGTTAATTGGAGAATCAGAATTCGAGGAAAGTCACAAAGAGGCTTTCTAAGACTGGTAAGTGATGTGAGTGAAGTTGGGACCAGATACCCAGAAGAGGGGTCAAAACCTGAAAAAGGCGACCTCTCTGAGATCTCTGGATCATGGTGTCTATCCCTAAACTGTTCTATTGAGCCCCAAGCTCTTCAAAGTGTAGACTAGCTCCACTTTCTTGCAGTGCCCCAGTGAGCCATAGGATAGCTGAGAGGCCAAGGGTGAGTACTAGTTATTGGTCTCTGTTAAATTGTCAACAGCTTGGACCTCAGCTTCTTTTACCCCAAATCTGGTGCTATTTGCTGCTGCAATTATAGTCATAACCTCTTTCTTCCTTCTTTGGTTTCAAATCATAATATCCTATAGATTCCCTTCTAATTACAAATATCTGCATAGAAATAGACTCACAGATGGGTAATAGAATGCCCTTCTTTTGACTTTTGCCCCCAAAGAAAGGGCAAGTCACAAGGTACAAAAATTAGGACCTGGAAGGGCTTGGAGAAAGGGGTTAATGGGGCCCATCCTTAGAATTCAGGAATAGAAAGGAGACTGTGAGTTGTGGCCTTAGGGAAGAAACTCCCAGGGCAGGTAGGTCTTAGCTTTGAACTGAAATACTTGAGGGTAGAGGAGGAAATAGGAAGGCAACATAAAGATGCTTATTCTCCTCCAACAGTAGAAAGTGGGGCATCCTGGTCCTCTGGCCTCCTGATCGGGAGACACCAAGGAAGAAAAGGAAGCTGAATCTTTGAACCCCATTCTGAAATCTCCACCTTTCTTACCATGAAAGAAGTCACTCCCAGAACTTACTTGTGAATTGGGTCCCAGTTCTCTAATCCAGTACTTTCAGTTTGCTGCGTGGTCTTCATCCTTTGCCAAAACTTATCTTTCTTTCATTCATTCTTCCTATACACAAATAACCCAGGTTAGGTTAACCTAAGGGTGAACTATGTTACTAGTGAGAAGCTCTATGACTTGCTGAAGACCACACAAGGAGTCAGTGCAGAATGATTGTACAAACCTCTTTCTTGTTCACCATATACACCATTAATATTGTTGATAGGGACCCAACCATGGCCCTATGGGGACTTGGCGTCTGACCTACAAGGATGATGAATGACCAGTGGGTGCAGGGTTCTGCCAAACTCTATTCTTGATGAAAAAATACCCATGCCCTGCTTCCCTGCTCAGAACTCAGAGGAAGGCAGCAGGTGAGGACAAAACCTGATGCCACCGCCCTGGAACCATGCAAGGCAGACGAGGGTGGCAGCTTTCCTGGCAGTTCCCTGGGCTTTCTGAGTTCTGAACATTACCCCAGCCTGGTGTTGAGGCCCTTCTCTTACTTGTTTGTTCCAGAGTACATCTTGGAACCTACACCCTGCAAATTAGAGCCTGAAAACTGTACTCAACGGTGTGCATCCCAGGAAGATTGCCAGAAAGGATTTCGTTGCTGTTCATCCTTCTGTGGGCTGGTGTGTTCATTGGGTACATTTCAAAAGCCCAACAGGTAAGAGACATCTCATATCCAGGCCTGATCCTAGAGCTGCTGGTGGGAGCCCAACAGAAGAGTCTCTTACTAGCAACCGTGCTGGATCTCTCCTTTTTTTTCCCTTGGTGGCCATGTTGGCAACATGCCCCTTCTCTTGACCAAGGATAATTTCCATAAAAGTCCTGATTAGAAAAGCCCTCCTCTCCCAATCACCACATCCCATTACTATATCTGTGAATCTCTGACTCTGCCTCTCTGAACACACCAACAATGACTTTATCCACAGACATTCCCCTGACCCAGAATCTACCCTTATCCCAGGGACACTTTACCTGCGAGTATCACCAAAATCCAAAAGCAAATTTTGCTTTACACTTTTGCTTGCCCTCCTTCCACAAGACACCATCCTTTGGCCACCAGTGTTCTTAGGCTCTGGAGATCCAGCCCAAGGGAAGTTGTGCTTAATTGTCCAGACATTAACACTAACCCCAAGCCTGCTAAATGGAGTGTGCTCCCAGAGCGGAGAAAGAACATGAGGGTGCTGATGAGACATATGATGTCCCTTTTTTTTTTTTTTAAGGTGGAGTGTTTTTTTTTTAAGCTCTTGTCACCCAGGCCGGAGTGCAGTGGCCCAATCCCGGTTCACTGCAACCTCTGCCTCCCAGGTTCAAGGGATTCTCCTGCCTCAGCCTCCCAAGTAGCTGGGATTACAAGTGCCCACCACCACACCCAGCTAATTTTTGTATTTTGGGTAGAGATGGGATTTCACCATGTTGGCCAGGCTGGTCTCAAACTGCTGACCTCAGGTGATCCACCTGCCCTGGCCCTCCAAAGTGCTGGGATTACAGGTGTAAGCCACTGCGCCTGGCCAAGATATATGGTTTTTAATCCCATCTTGCAATATATCTTTCTATGACCTTAAGTAAGACAATTCCCCTCTTTTTTGCTTTCTTTTTCTCATGAGTAAAATAAAGACTCTTGTTTTTTCCTGTTTGCAAGGCCCAAATGAAATTTCAAAAGACTCACATTGGAAGACTCAACCATGAGCCTCTTGGAAGCCTGGCAGTCTTGTTCCCTGCTGAATTCCCTACCACAAGCAGAATACCCAGCATATGAGTTAATGTGCAGAGTGATTAAGCATGGGCTCAAACCTGAGCTCAAATCCTGGTTCTACCACTTCTTAGCTGAGTGACCTTAGACAAGTTAATTAACCTCTCCCTGGGCATCAGGTTCCTCATCTTTAAGACTGTAACAATAATAGCAAGGTTAAAATAGGCGATCCATGTAAGCTTTAAAACATTACTTACCAACATAATCGCTGTGAATTTTGGTGATTAGCCAACCACTTCTCTTTGAAGACACTAGCCCCTACAATTAAATTCCACATCTTTCGATGATCTACATTGGGATGCAAAAGCGTAAATATGACTCTTTGATGTCATTGAGTTTTTTGAGATTCTGCCTTCCCTATGGCAAGAGAACTGAGCTTCAAGGTCTAATATTCATGGTGGAAGTAATTGAAAGAAAAAATTTTATCTCTAAAAATAAAACTTCACCAGTTAATATTTGAAAATATTTTTCTTCTACAGAAGCAAATGCAACCACTCAGAAGTCATCAAGCCTGACAATTGAGGCATGTTTCCTAGAGCATTTTGTAAGTAAGGGGTTTGGTCTGGTCTTCCTCATGTGAGATTCCCAGAGGATGCTCACTTTCTTCCTCTCGCCCCACCAGGAGCACCGCATTCCCACAAGTTCAGAACGAACTCTCATTGTCTGATTGCCTCTTCCTCCATCATTCCCCTCCAAGAGCTATCTTTGCACTCCCTAGGTTAGGGTGCAGTCCAGCATGAATTCTGCAACACAGAGCAACCTAAGGAGCCAAGTCATGGCCAAGGGGAACCCAGGGCACTCAGATCTGAGGCTCTGTCAGGAAACAAGCTCTTCCAGCATCTGGGTCCGGTCAACAGCACCCTGGGCAGGGAGTCAAGCTGAGCCCTTCACATTCTGTGATACTTTGCTCTTCTCACTGTACACCCCTGAGACAGTCACCTCCCTCATGTGAAAGATGAAGAAAGCATCATGCCTCAGGGTATTGGGAAGACAGCAAAATGCCATGTGGATGGAAGAACTTGGTCTCTGCAAAACTTACACAGCAACTCACAGGGTCAGCAACTCACAGGGTCACTCATTCTAGGTTCCAGTTCTTTCTCTTAAAAAAGAGGGAGTGAGAATCATCTTTGTTGTTTTACTGATGTTGCAAGAATGGTGAACAAAATGGAGTCCCATGGAATTCCACCACCAAAAAAAATAAGAGTATTCATAAGTTGGTGGGGTTCATTTCAGAGTATTTGGTAAAAAAAAAAAAAACTAGAAGCTTAGGGTCTTCTTTTTTCTTCTTCCTCTTCTTCTTAAGATGGAGTTTTGCTCTTGTTGCCCAGGCTGGAGTGCAATGATGTGATCTCGGCTCACTGCAACCTACACCTCCCAGGTTCAAGCAATTCTCCTGCCTCAGCATCCTGAGTGGCTGGGATTACAGGCATGCATCACCATGCCCAGATAATTTTTTGTATTTTTAATAGAGGCAGGGTTTCTCCATGTTGTTCAGGCTAGTCTCAAACTCCTGACCTCAGGTGATCCGCTCCCTCCTTGGCCTCCCAAAGTGCTTGGATTACAGGCATAAGCCACCATGTCCGGCCAAGCTTAGGGTCTTCTAATGGTCCTTCTGATGTCTCCGGATGTTCCAAATTGGAATGGTGGTCTTTCAGCTCAGTCCTTTCATTAACCCTGTATAAGGGAGCCTGGTAAACAGTAGCAAGTGGCGGCCAGAGGAGCCATTTAGATGCATGAGCACTTGCCCAGGCTCTAGCGAGTCTACCATGCTCCTGATGAGCTCCCACTCATGCTTCCAGGTTTCTACTAAATTAAAATTTCCATGGAACCTTCACCAGTTCACTCCAGACAAAATTGGTCCCTCTCTGTCTTTTGCAGTGCCCTATCTTTGACCTACCATAACCTTATCAGACTTTCTTATAATGGTTTGAGTTAGTATTTCCTTTGTTCAGAGGATAAGTCCCATCAAAGCACAAACTGTGTGTGATTTCTTTGCCACAGAACCCTAGCACCTAGCACCATGCTTTGCACATAGCAAGGATACAATTCAGACTTTTCAAATAGGGAGGAGAAGAGGCTGGCAAAAAGTAGATTAATTCTAATATTTGATAAGTTTTTCCTACAAAGAAAATCTTCATTGAGCAGTCCAAAGTCCCTCAAATATCAGCTGCCTACTATTTTTTTAAACTATATTTACTTATGAAAACCTACAATAGGCAAAAAAAAAAAATAAGCAAAATAAGAAAGCCTGATAGTATCCATTCACATGGGGTAATAGCTCTGTATTAAGGTTAAGGGTCCTAGCTACCTTGGGACTCAATCCAGCTGTGGCCTGCTGACCTGGTAATGCTGGGCCTCTCCTAGGTACTAAGAGCCCCAATCTGTCCATCTGTAAAATGGAGATGGAAAATATCTAACCCTTAGCTGTGTCACCAAGATGCAATTAAATGGCACATGCAAAGCACACATAAGGTTGCTGGCAGAGAGTCTAAGAAGAAGATATTATTATCCACGTCTTGCCAATCCTTCCTTTAGCCAATATTTTTGTTTTATAAAGGGATCACAGTGTACACTCTATCTTAAACTCTGATTGGTTGTTTGGTTGGTTGCTTTTTAATTTCTCTGAGTCAGTGATCAGTGAACATTGCTCTTGTTTTAAGTTAATTCAGTGTTCACTGATCTTCAAAATAGCTTTTTCAGAGAGAACAAGGCATAGTTACTGCATCCTTGAAACATAATGTGATTAAATCTCATGACAAAAGATTGGCTAATTTAACAGAAATCAGAATTACTCTACTATATTTCCAGTGAGTAATTGTGGAAGACTGCTTCCCTCTGCAAATCCCATATGAATGTTAACAACCTGGAGATGTGTGGTCACCTGGTCCCACAATTCCACTTTTCTTCCCATTGCACCCCCTCTAAATGAAGTTTTCCCAAGATAAAATTATCGCAAGTCCATATCTTGTTCTTCTCTTTAATGACACCCTTCTATTCTGACTCCCCAGTGACCCCTAGTCCAGAGCAGGAAAAACTGTTCAGAAAAATCTATAGATGCTTTGACTACCAGAAACTGACCATACATGGTTTGAGCCGACCTGAGTGAGGCAGGTCTCTTACATACAGGTTGGCTATCACTGTTTTAATAATCTGAATTTGATCTATCCAATACTGTAGGCACTGATCACAAAAGGCTATTTAAATGGTAATTCATATGAAGTACAATAAAATAAAAGATTCAATTAGTTCCTTAGCCTTACTTTCCATTTCAACTGTTTAATAACCACCTGTGGTTAGTAGCTACCATATTACACATCATAAATATAGAACACAGAAAGTTCTAATGGAAAGCATAGGTTTAAGCTACATAATGCTGATGTCTAAAAAATGATGGCTAATTAAAGGTCATCATGACAGAGGATACCCTCTATGACAGCCTCACGTTAGGCTCCAGGAAAAGTTTTTGGAGCTATTTCTTTAAGGGGTCCTAAGCATAGCCTGACAACACACAATTTAATGACAGTAGTTCTCTAGAGACCCAACAGGATGTCACCCATGGATGTTTAAAGAATCCAGAAGAATAATGGACTAATTATTCTCCCTTCCCCACAGGCCCCTACAATGTTTTTTCTTGGTTCACCTTTAGGAAGACACTGAGAAGCAAGAAATTTGAGGCCCAATATCTAACTTGCAAATCGTTTTTGAGCTTGGTGGTAAAGGCTAATCTACCATAAAACTCTTGAAGCTTAAGCTTTAGGTCAACACTTGCAAGAGCCCCTTCTAAAGTTCAGCACAGTTTCCTCCTGGGATGAGGAGAGGAAGTAGGAACCCCCCTTTGGCTTAGAGACAAGCAGCACTGTTCAAGTCCAGGGACACTACCTGTGCCTTGCTAGTGGTCTTTTTTTTCTTTTCTTTTCTTTTCTTTTTTTCTTTTTTTTTTTTTTGAGACGGAATCTCGCTCTGTCATCCAGGTTGGAGTGTAGTGGCGTGATCTCAGCTCACTGCAACCTCCACCTCCCAGGTTCAAGCAATTCTTCTGCCTTAGCCTCCAGAGTAGCTGAAATTACAAGCACCCGCCACCACACCCGGCTAATTTTTGTATTTTTTTAGTAGAGACAGGGTTTTGCCATGTTGGCCAGGCTGATCTCAAACTCCTGACCTCAGGTGATCTGCCAGTCTCGGCCTCCCAAAGTACTAGGATTGAAGGCGTGAGTCACCGTTCCCAGCCCTGGTGGTGGTCTTAATGACCAACCACATCAACATCTGGACAACCCTCACTGATTACCCACCCTTGGTTGCACTCATCAGGCTAATTGATCCCATATTTAACCTCAAGAAGAAATATCAACCAGAGACCAACCAGAGACCACATGGCAACCTCCCTGGGGCCAGCCTTCAAGGCTTCATGGCCATATCATGAACCCAGGACAGGCACCACAGGGGTGAGAACCTGATAGAGCCAGATCAGTGACTAAGAGCCTGCAATAAGGAGCCATGAAATCAAAATCAAAGGACTAGAACTCTCCAAGGTCTTCCCCCAGACAGGTAGCACCACCTGAGCCAGAAACTGCAAAGGACGTGACAGATGTGGCATTACTGATAAGTTATGGAAATGGAAATAACCTTTCCTAAGCTATCAATAATAACTTTAAATTTTTGTTCAACCATGCTAGAGCAAAGACTGAATTATCCTTCTGTTCCCTATACAGAAATGATATAAAATCATAGTCATAAGAAGAGACAATCAAAAATAATCAGCCACAAAATGTTAAAAATGTATTATAAAGCTTTTTAAAATAATAATAAAGTGTTTTATTTTTCTGAGATTCATGATATTTGATGTATTTGTAAGCTTTTGTAAGTTTCTAATTTGTTGCAATTTCTTTTTCATTTCAAATAAATATTCACTTACATGCCTAATTTTGTATTTGTAGTTCTGCATTATTTTTCTAAAACAAGGTATCCATAATCGTACAAGCATGAAGCTCCACAAAGCCTGAGCTTTTCTCTGCTTGGCTCCATTACTTCCAACTACTGTACCTGTGAGCCTTGTGTTCCTCTTTAGGAAAACGACATAAGCAACTGTTCTTCATTTTCACAGGATAATACAAAAAGATCAAATAATATAGTGAGCATAAAAATATGTTGTATGCCCTGTGACAGAAATGTGAATTGTTATGATTATTGTTAACATTTTCAGGACTTACAGTTAGTTATACAAGCCATGTGCCTCTATATAATAAAGGCCATATATAACAAGCCCATAGCTAACATCATATTCAATAATGAAAATCTAAAAGCTTTGCCTCTAAGATCAGGAATAAGACAAGGATGCCCACTCTCACCACTTCTATTCAACAAAATACTTGAAATCCTATCCACAGCAATTAAGCAAGAAAAAGAAATAAAAGGCATCCAAATATGAAAGCAGAAGAAAACAGAGACAATAGGAAAATTGTCTCTGTTTATAGATGGCATCTTACGTATATAAAACTCTAAAGACTCAGTAACAAAAATAACTG